GCGTCTAGCACAACTGCCGGCCTATGAACACAATAGGTAAGTGGAAAAGTCGGCTAGACTAAGGGTAAGTCGCGGTGCCGTCCATGCTCACCGCACCATGCGGAGACGACTAATCCAACGGGAGCTAGACTACGGGCTAGGCACGGGGCTTGAGTGATACCTGTGTTCGTTCCTTAGTCGTTTCCTTGTACGCACACTACTTGCTAGCTTACGGGGAAATTTTGCAAGAGTTTCACTAGGAAAACATGACAACAACGATCGCAACAACATTGGCAACACAGACTACATCCAGGCTAGCATGCAAGTCGGTCGTCTGCCGGCGCAGCATGGTCGATCGCGTTCCAGAACAGCTTGGTCGATCGCGCTCCAGCAGGGCAAGGTCGCGGCTTGCCAACGCTGCAAGTCTGCGGTGTGCCAACGCTGCAGCAAGTCGGTTGCACAGCATAGCACCCGCATGACAACGGTGCACCTGCTTTGTAGGTGCGCGCAGCTGGTTAGTGCTCCACGCCTTGTCACGAGCACAGCGCAGACGCCCAGGTCGAGTCCACGCCAGCGACTGCGCCCACCAGCCACGTCGACCTCGGGATACCACCCCCGAGGTCTGCCTCGCAGAAGCCTCCCCAGCGACCTTCGCACATGTCGCCCGGGTAACTCGGTCGACCAGGCAACGACGCCTGGTCGGCCAGCCCTGTGGGTCGCCGGCTGCACACGCCCGGCGCCCTCCAAGCTCGGCGCCCTCCAACACGGCGCCCTAATATTCGACACCCAGCTGCTCGGCGTCCTGCTTCCCGACGCCCTCCAGCTCGGCGTCCCCAAGCTCCCCTGTCCCGGTCGACGTCAGCGTCACCCTTCGTCGATCACCAGGTTAGGTCGGCCGCCGGCTCCCCGTCGTCGGCGGCGTAGGCAGTGGCTGTGTGCAGGTCAGCCAACTCGTTGATCTGCACGCCGAACTCCGCGTCGCTCATTGCAGTTGATCGGCTGCACTCCCCGTACACCCGAAAACGAAGTCGGCTCCACCCAAGCGAGGACGGGGCCAACCACAACCCCCGTTGACAAGAAAGGTAGGCGGTACCACAACTAGTAGTAGTAGCCACTACCGCTAGTAGTGCGTTGAGAAACATTGATCACTTGTAAGTGTCACGAAGAGACGTTGAAGGCGACACGCTTGAGAGCCATTGCGAGCGCTGATGAGAGCGCCGTCGCGGGGAGTACTGGGGCGGTGAGCCCGTGCCATAATGCTTACTCATGATTCATCGCAGTGGCTCTAGCTGGAGTTGTTGGTGTGATTCGACGAACCACCCCTAAGTGACGGCGCGATTTGGACCGATGGTGAAATTCGGACCGACGGCGGAATCTACTGAACGGTGGCGTGAAGAAAATGATGAACGAAGGAGCTAAGAAGCTAGGCTTGGCGTGTGAGCTACGGAACTTGAAGATATGGGGAGGAGAGAGTGACGTCTGAGGAAGAATGGAGTAGAGGGGAAGAAGTGTTTGACGGGAGTGGAATTGGGGTTGAAAGATGGCGTAGTTCACAAATTTATGAATTTCTGACTTTGGGGGTGTTCGACTCGGTTGCGTGTGCGACTCGACGTGACACATGGCGCGTGGGACAAGTTTAGTTACTTGTGAGACACGTTTGATTTGGGGTACTTGTGAGCTTTGGGAGTAGTATAAATTTGTTGTGGTAGTTTGGAATTACAACCTTGGCGTAGTTCTATTTTGGAGGGCAATGTTCAAGTCCAATAGATGGCACATTTCTTGCCTAGTGAATTGCTAGTGAAGGGCTAGGGAAGCCCTTGGTCAAGGCCCTGCGAGGCACTAGTGATGCGGATTCACCCGAGAAGCTCCCGTCAGTCGCTAGTGAAGGACCTGTGAAAGCAGATTTTCGTGTCAGGGTTTTGTGAAGGCCTTGCAAAGGGCCTGTGAAACAGAAATCGAGTTTAGCGCAAGTCAAGCACTGGTGAGACTGAAAAGCTAGTCAAGCGTTAGTGAAATGTTGCCGGAATTAAACGCTGCGCATATCGTTGGAGTCGCGAGAGCGAGGAGAACGCAATCGACATTAGCATGCCGACTTTTGCCGACTAAGGCATCTACGATACTAACAGGAGTCGACTTGGCCGCCAAGTCACGGCGACGGCCGTCTGCGCAGCCCGGCGAAACGAAAATTTGAGATTAGTGGTGAGGTGGTAAACAGTAGTAGCAGTCGTGGTATAGTAGTACTAGTAGTAGTGTAGTATGATGACGAGTGGGTCCAAAACGCTACTACTAGTAGTAGTAAACCACACCGACTTGTACTAGGAGTTCAGGAATCGGAGTCGGGGCCTTGGCGTGGTTGGGTCCGGGTAATCAACTTTTAAGATCCCGACAGCCGTACCACTAGCAGCGGCGGAGGAACGAGACGGTTGCAGAGGCACCAGAATTAGAATGGATGCTGTGGTGGTGTGTCGATGATACATCACAGGACGATGTACGGATGGGAAAGGTGCTCAGACGGAGGTCAGAGGGAAACATTGCACGCACTCGAAACGGATGCCTGGACATCCATTGGTGCCCGGCTAAACACCCCTAGTAGGTATGGAGGCGAAACACGACTCCCCGTAAACGGCCTACATTGTCCTGTACATTACTAACGATCAACAAAAATGTAAATCCGGATGTGTCCAAACTAGACATTGACATTCCTCTAAGGATGTGGACATCCTGAAGTGGCACAGTCAGCAAAATGTGGCACTCACGAAGGATGAGGTTCCGGGTTCAAACCCCTGTGCTCATATAGGAGTGAATAATCATACTTTGATACCCAGCGAGGCGTGTAAATAATGGGGTAGGCGGGTTACGACTGACGGCCGGGGTATACCAACGGGGGTTTTCCCTACAACAGTTACCATCACCTCTAGGGATGTGGAGAAGTTTGACAGTTGTTTTTTGAAAGGATTTAAGAATCGAGGGTTTCCACTAGTTTACATGCAGTTCAAAAATGTCGCGTATACATGTGCTGGTACAACGACGACGACACGGCGCTGCTAATGTGCTCAAGCCACACTGTTCGCCCTTTTGCAATGAAACTGTGGAGGTTCTACAATTCAATCAAGGGTTTGTATGATAACCACCTTCTTTGGCGCCCAATGCTCACGTTGGATTCGGTGTAATCAATACGTTGATTCTCTGTCATTAGGGACCGCAACGTGCTAGTGTGCGTATGATTGTTACGTCATTTACTGACTACAAACCTCTACCATATGAGGGAGGGCCTTCTGGGCCAACCGCTACATTGGAAGCGTGGGTTAAGAATATAGGGGCATTACGAACCAGTCATGGCTGCGATTTCGGCTCCTTAAAGGTTGCGGACTTTGTATTAGCTCAGAGGAATCCATGATCATAGTAGCAGGTTCCTTGTGTCGGAATCCCAGCCACTAACCACTGGGATAAAAGGGCTTGTTTGTGTAGTGGGTTAGTGCGCCCATAACCCCCCAGGCCGACGTGCCTGTAACCCTTCCCTAGGATCAATCGGGGATCTCTAGTGGACCTCTGACACCTTGCGCGATAAACGCGTTACCTAAATACATGAAACAGATAGAGTGGACTGATACGACGGCATGTTAGAGATGGAAATCTCATGCAAATCTCCACATTCAACACTCATCTCAATGGTCAGTTCGACTGACCATTGAGATGAGTGTTGAAAGAACATTGGAAGGGAATGAAGCCTGTAGGGTTGAGTGTCCATCGAGAATGCCTGAGCTGAGGCACGTGGAATGATGGTTGGCAGTCAAAAGGGGATTTTATGTATTCACGCCTGTCTACCTTGCATGCATGATTTTCCAAAAAGGCATACTCTGCACTTCAACATAGGAAAACCGTCATTTGCATGACTCAAATCAAGCTACGGAGACGTAGGAAACCATTGTGAATTGGAATCAAATCAATGATTCTCGTACTTTGCACTTGCCGCGCTCTATGAGCTCAGTTTTCGGAGCGATGGTGAATTGGTGTCGTCTCTCACAGGTATCTCCACTTGTGCAACCTCCTTAGCGGATTTTGGTGGTTGCACGCGTACTCCACCGAATTTGAGCATGCCCCTCGTGTACCTCCCGCTTGGTGGGTCCGTGCGGGATTTCGAGGGAGATGCTGCTCCAGACATGGGAGCGGCGTCAACACCACAAGTGCTACCAATGTCGGAAGGGGGTGATTGGCTTCTCGTCACGATGGCATGAGGTAGAGTAAAGGGTGTTGGTGAAGGCTCGACATAGCACGATACTGCCTCTTCTACACCGACTCTACCGCTAAGGTTAGAAAGACGGAGTTTGGTTGTTCCTGGTGCTGCCGCGGGAAGAAGAAATTTGAGTTTGAAGAATACGAGTATCGGGGGGCTTACGGGGTACGTGTCACTGGGGCCTGATTCAAGGATGGCCATTTTAGCAGGGATGGCCCTGCTCGAAAATTTGGAGAAACTTTGCCTAGATAAACTCACATTCAGGTACCACAGAACAATACCCTCTACAGTCAAGGTTAGCGAATCCCCAAGTCTAATACACTACACACACATTTAATAAGGGCCCTCCAAAACAACAATGAATGAACCAGTCATAGGAAATTAACTAATCTGAAAATCAGTGGACAATGCCTAAAAGGTCATGCGACACTCGAATGATTTGCGGCAATTTATAACGACAAGGCGCCGACGTGGGCAGCGGTGATGCACGAGGACGTTGCCTGATGCGAACCAGCTGAGCTGACCCTGATTGGTCAGACCTGATTTCAGAACACTGACCAATCAAAGTGTTCTTGAAGTCTGTTTTTTTTTTAGGTGAACTTCAGAGTGCCTAAGAATTGAAACGTCAGCCCTGGCCGTGTCAAATGAGCAAAGAAGCTAGGTAACTGTCACAAACAGCAGGGCAGTCCCTTGACCCCCATAACAGTTAGGATCCTGGAATGATGCATACGATGCAACGCATATGAACTCCGAAGTAAAACTCAACCACGATAACCCCATCCCAATCCTAGGCTGGGTGTTCGGCACTGAAGCTGCTCCTATCCGCAATCTTTTGAAGTTGCGCCTCCAGACCGTCCTCACCCGCAACAGCATCCTTCATCTCCTGGACCTGCGCATCCACCTTGATGGCAGCGCCAGATTCCTCCTTCCCCGCCACCTCCTCCCTGACAGCCTGCAGCTGGGTGGCAATGTGTGCCATGCTTGGGCGGCTTGCAGAGCGCTCCACGGTGCAGCTCACTGCCAGCTCAACCACGCGCAGCACAGCATCTCCAGGGGCGTCCATGGTGGGGTGCTTGAGGCCCTCTGAACCTCCCGATGACAGGCACTCGGATGCCTGAGAGAGTGGAACAGGATGGACAAAATTGCAAGTTTGTAAAGGTGAAATACACATCAGTCAGCATATGAAGCAGAATATATCACTTATGGCAACATGCAACAAGCTTCCTGAGTGGAACTTACCCACACCACGATGTGCTTGGTCTCCCCAGCATCCTCGAAAAGTGAAGACCGACCAGTGAGCACCACAAGCATGAGCACACCAAAGCTGCAACGTGCGAGAGGTGGTGAGAGCAATGTGATGGTGAGAGCAACGCAATGGTGACATGCATATGACAACTCTATTGTGTGAATCCATATAACCTGTTGAGGATTTCAGTGGTGTTCCATGACATGCTTGTTCCAGGTGCAAGTTTGATGCATAAGCCAATATCGACATGACATCTGACAGGTTACTGCCACTCTTTTAATTCCTGGGAGTCTTGTTTATTTGAGCCAACTCCCAGAGTCTTCTGGCTCACATAGCACGATCTCTGTATGGCTCTTTGCTCACCTGTAGACATCGCTGGCTGTGGTGGCCTTGGAAGTCCGGTTGTAAACCGGATCCACATAGCCCGGTGTTCCCATGATTCGAGTCGTGCCCACTGTCGTGCCCTCTTCCACCCTCACCAGCCCAAAGTCTGCAATCTTGGGCTGATGGGTGGTTGGATAAATGTGATATTAAGAATACACCAGCACAAAAGAAAGAAACAACAATGGTGACAAAACAAACGACATACGCTGGTTGCATCCAGACACAAGAAACACGAACGTGTAAGTGAGCGTGAGCCATATGCAGAACTAGATAAAAGGCGAGACTAGATGAGCCAAACTAGAACAACCAATTATTTTGGCATAGCTCTGCCTTTTCCTATCAATTCTCGTGGCTAGTTGCTTTCCACAGAAGCATCTTGTTATGCAGTGTGAGATGCTGCAACCGCGCCTGCCTGCATGTCGCTGGTGATGAGGATGTTGGCGGGTTTGATGTCGCGATGCACAATGTCAAAGCTATGGAGGTACTCAAAGCCACGTGCAGCACCAATGAGGATGTCTAGCCGTTGCTTCAGACTCAGAGAAAAAGGTGCATCTGCAACAAGCCACGGGATGAGTTTCACGACAAGCATCACCAGGCAGCATGAGTGGCCTACCACGAGTAACATTGTACAAGGGAATGCGACACAACGACTTGCACACTTACTTGGTCCTATCCACCTGTCAAGGTCACCATTGGGCACAAACTCGTAGATGAGGACTTGCTCTATCTTAGACCTTACGTCCCCTCCCACCGCAAACCCAAGCAGTCGCACAATGTTGGGATGGTTCTTATCGGCCATTTGCATGACCTGGAGGAAGCGAGAACCGGCACACGGGAACAGGAGGAAGGCGGCAGGAAAGAAAGAGTAGGTTGAGAAGAGAAGGAGGAACAGTGATTCTGCTCGCTCAGCTTAGGGAAGCTGAATAGTCCTGATCAAAATAGATAGCACATTCTTAGATGAAGCGTCTTTCTGTTTGGAAGTAATGGAAAACCGAACTGTCCTTTCCCCATGTTGACTGACGGAGTCTGTAGTCCAGCCATCTCCCCATATGCGGCACTCACCTCCCCCTGGAATTCCGCGCCCATGAGCTTGGCGCGCTTCACAGCCCAGGGTGTGGTGCCATCACGGGGAGAGCTTGTTCCGAAAGTCATGGTTTTAGTCCACCTATCTCGGCATGAGCACGGCACACAGAAATGCCACGCAGCCACTCGCAGCCGACTCGCAACCGACTCGCTGAAACGGAGAAAGAATACTGCAGCTCAGCTGGGTATGTTTCCAATCTGAACTGCGCAATAGGGATGAAGAACACCCATGAATGAACCCCGCTGTTGCGGGGCAAACTTTTGACCCACCCACATACTTTGATCTCTCCACTTGTGGAGGTCACCGTTGGGCACAAACTCGTAGATCAGCACTTGCTCTGGCCGCGTCCTCATGTCCCCTCCGACAGCAAACCCAAGCAGCCGCACAATGTTGGGATGGTTCTTATCTGCCATTTGCTCCACCTGAAAGCAGAAGAGAAGGCCAATGAAGAAAGGCCAAAGAGGGCACACATGGCTGGCTCAGCTTCTCCCTGAGTTAGTAGCAGGATTCCAAACAAAGTAGTAGTAGTGGGTCCTCCACAAAGAGAGGCTATGCTACACACACACACGCACGCAGAGCAGCCTGGTTCCAAAATCCAAACAGCATGAAAGAGGAATCACACTCAAACCACTAGGTCCTCTTTCGAGGATCATACCGACCATGTTGTCCAGTGCAGTGCAGCTCACTCACCTCCTTCTGAAATTCCGCGCCAATGAGCTTGGCACGCTTGACTGCCCAGGGTGTGGTGCCATCGCGGGGAGAGACGCCCTTGTAGACATCACCAAAGGCACCCGAGCCAAGCAGGTTGTCCTGCGACCAGTCGTTGGTGGCCTGCAGCACCTCCTCCAGTGACAACTCCGTGCAGTGCGCCGCTGCCAGGCTGGGTCCGGGATCTGGCCGCAGGGTGAAGGGGAGAATTGGCTAACGATCTGTTGGGGTAACTTCGTTGCAGATTTCCCAGATTGATCCCAACGGAAGTTCTCAAGCATTATGACACCCAACCACTTCGCGCCCACCTCAACAAAGTTTAACCACCGAGATTGTCAACTTACTTCTTATCTACTGTCAGCCCTTACATATGGACTTGTCAGATTTCCAGCACACAGCGTCTGGAATATCTCGTAGGTGGTTAGAGACTGAAAACATGTGAACCCCTGCCTGCAAGTTGGTTATTTCCACCTGCCCGGACAAGAGTTTTTCCTTGCCTAAGTCATCCTTGAGTTGGGCCAAGCGAGTGAAGAAGACGGATTAGCCGACTCAAGCCGGCGATGCCTCAGTGACGAGTCATCTTGTCGATGATTCAACTCGACTTTCTCGAGGAAAGGCAGGTCATAAACACCCAGGCCTAACTGGCCTGACTCAACTTGCGCGCTCAAGTCTGCATACTTCAACGAGAACCAGCCTTGTTTCTTACTGATCACAGTACTGCAGACATCTGCACTTGGAACTGCAGGAATCAGGTCTCAATCTCAACAGCACAAGATTCATTGATTGCGTTGTCGTCCTACCTGGTGGCTTCTGCTGCATCTTGTGCCTTAGATAGAGCAGCATGGAACCCAGCAGCAGCAGCAGAATGGCCACAGCAGCAACAGCAATGCCAACGATGGCTCCCACTGATACACCCCCTCCACCTCCAGATGCTGCTGGAGAAGACTCGCTGCTGCTGGCGCTGCTGTTTGCTGTCGAACCTACCGGAGCATAGAGTGATGCAGTGGGGAATAGTGATGCTGACAGAACTTCAAACAGCGGGAGCATAGCTGATTGCAATAAGCCAAGCAGTCGAATGAAGTTTGCAGAGGAAACGTTGAAAATCTTATCTTGTTCCACAGCAGAGGCTACAGTGGAACGTCCTCCAGAAGAGGAGCCATTCTTTGTGGTTGCTTGTGCCCTTAGTCGACATAGTACGTAGGGTAGTCGCCACACCATAGCAACCCTAGCTAGCAACCTTCCTGTTTCTTACATTACTACTTTGAAAAACGTCGCGCCGTTTTACTAACACGCTAACACAGCACAGGTCGTCGAAGGATTTTTTCTTTTTTAGTTTTTTGGAAACCGTTTTCAAAGAAAGATCTAGGGGATTTTTTTTATACCTGCCCGGCGTACGTACACGTACGTACGCGTACGTACACGTAAATGTACATGTGCGCGTACGTTACGTGTACGTGGGCTGAAATGGCGTAAATGACCAACTTGACTTGTGCCATGTCCTGTGCTTGTGGCACGTCCTGTGCTTGTGTCATGTCCTGTGCTTGTGCCATGCCCTGTGCTTGTGCAATCCCTTGCGTGGATTATGAAAATTCGTGAACATCATGGCTTTTTTCTGGTGCGAGTGACTGTGCTTCATGGACTTGCCTGCAGGTTGGCCGCATGTGTTGCAGAAGGAGCGGCACGTCTGACAAAAGGCTGACTTGGGCGATACTAGTGCTGGGTCACAGCCAGAGGTGTAGTCAGGCGGGCACGTGAGCTTTGTGCTGCTGATGTTGCTGCGGTGAGAAGGGGAGATGTAAGATGGAAGTTCCACCGTGGAACAAACTGGGGTAGCAACACAACATAGACCGTTTACCACCATTACGGAATCTCTTGCTGTTCTCTCTTCTCTCGTCAAATCTGATTTCCGCACTGAAGTTCGTTTCTCATCAATAGGACACCCATTCTTCTCCATTTTCAAAATAGACTACCATATTCTGAGCAGTACGAGATAAGAAAAATGTGTCTAATATCCGGGTGATGACGGAAGCAGCCTAGTGCCTCACGTACAGTGAATCGAGGAACAAGAGCCCCAGAAAAGTTGGCAGCGTTCCACTGAGGTTGGCGTTATTGACTCTCCTGCAGCAAAAAGAGCATCAAAACAGATGTACATGTTGTGGCGTGGCAGGCATGAGCAGACTCAAGCAAGCAAACGAGATGTCAGCACCACCCAACCCATCCATGGTGTATGATGCTAGAGAGGTTCTTTCTTACAGTGAGCGGAGCCGACCGAGGGAGGTGATGCTGTTGGGAAGGGAGCCGGACAGAGAGTTGCTGGAGAGGTCTCTGCTCGGCATGAGTGTAGAAAGAAGCGAGTTGAGAACAGTGGGCATGGCAGGAGAGTGAGCATGCGGGAACACAAGTGACACTTGGAAAATGGGGTTGATGATGATGAGTCAAACAGGTGAGTAACATTGTATGGTGCGAACAGATGAAAAGGAGCTGTGGCGGGATGGGAGAAATCGGAAGCAGCCCTGGCACATGTTTGCGAGTATGTAGAGCCTCACAAGGCCTCGAGAGCAGCCCCACTTTACATTGCCGGCCAAGGCTTACAGCGAAGTCAAGTCTGTGAGACCTCCAACAGCAGCTGGAATGGACCCCGTAAGCTGATTATTCGACAGATCTCTGGACAAATACGGTGGAGAGCAGGCAGTAACATTTCACAGTGAGTAAACTCAATAATGCGCGAGTTGTGGATTTCTAAAAAAAATCCGGCCAGGAAGAAATCGCACCTAATATTTGACCAAATGCTTTTCTAAACCCAGGTGGTTCGTCGTTGAGAATGTGCTCGGCGCAAGCCGACCGGGCTTGGCCCGAGTTGGCTCATCAGGGGCCGAATTGAGAACAAACCTATTCATGTTTAGCGTATCGTGAGCAGACCAGTACTGCGGATGATTGTATGCGAGTTGCTTACAGACTGCTTACAGATGTTTCAATATAGCAAGCTTTCCAATACCACTTGGAATAGACATGTTGAGCTGATTCTCAGACAAATCTCTGAAAGCAAGGGGTGGAAATTGGGCAAAAGCACAGGTGTTAGCCTCTTGACATGAGAGCTACACATCCACATGAAACAATCAGCCAGCGCAACAAGCTCATAAGACAAGTGCAGCTGGTATGGCAGATTAGTACTAGAGGTCTAAGGAATATATGTGATGTGGAAAGGAATTCAGAGGTGCAAGCATGCAGTGCTAAGCATATGGTTGCTACGATGTGTGCCATTCAGCTGCTCACCACAGCTCTTGGCACAGGAAGGAAGGAGGTGTGCACCAGAGACACAGCGATGGCAGTTGGTTAGGACAACCATGAAGGCAAAATGGCATCCTGGTCAAATTATTCGTACAGAAAACCCTTTGACACATCAACGAGGTGATGCTCGCCAAACAAACAGCTCCGGCACCCTTCTATTCCTACAAGGCCACCTACCTACCCTTCACCAAATCCTAACATATGATGCATGCAGCATCAGCACGTTAAACAGGCCTGAAAAGCAGAGGTCCTATTAGAGCCGAGCTGAGCCGAACAGCATAGGCTACCTCGATTTGAAGTCGAGCCGAGAAAGTTTCCAGCCTGGATAAGCCCATAACTCGGCGGACCATCAAGCTTGTGACCCCGCGAGCTGGGGGGGCGAGGTAGACAACCAGGGGTTTCCAGCCAAGCCACGGAAGCTTCTTTTTGAAACCCCTGGCTGACAAGGCTGTTTAGGCTTCGCCCATGTAGACAGCCTCGATGAGTCTATTTATGAGTCGACTCAAAAATAGACTCATCACTGGCTGACAAGGCTGTTTAGGCTCACCCATGTAAAGAGCCTCGATTGGTTCTTCTTTTGCGGAGGAAATTTGTAAGTTTGGGTGGGTGGTGGTGGTGCCTACAGTAAAAGCATACGTTTTGGGGATATAGCTACCTAAGCAAGCCGACAAGAATCGGGCTTACACATTAAGGGCGAATCAAGGTTGATAGTGGTGCTG